TGCAGTATGTGTTTTCCATTATTGACAATGGTGTTCCGGGAGAATATATGGCTCCGGCAAGAGTTTGGTCAATGTTTTCCTGCTCTTCAGGTGTCACCTGTGTACTAATGAAGCCATTGAGAGTGCTTTGTATGCAGTAGCTTGCACCTTTGTTGGCTTAGGCGTCCTGAACGGGCACCTCTTTGTGGTGATACTGATGTTCCAGAATCTGGAGCAGCAGCAGCACAGCTGTATGCTGACCACCCAGAAGCGTGCATGTTTTACCTCATCATGGGTTTCTTCTCGCACATTCTAAAATGTCTGATAACCACCAAGCTATCTGTATCTATGAGTTGATTTTTGTTTTGTTTGTTCACTTGTTTCTTCTTTTGTTTTATAGCCTACATACGAGTGAAGTCATACAATTTTTGCCCTTTTTTGCCTGACTTACTTCACTTAGCATAATACCCCTGAGGCCCAGCCATGTTGTCACAAATGACAATATTTCATCTTTTTGTATGGCTGAGTAGTATTCCATTGTATATATACCACATCTTCTTTATCCCTTCATCAGTCAATGAACACTTGGGTTGTTTCCATATCTTATAAATAATGCTGCAATGAGCATAGAAGCACATATATCTTTTTGAATAGGTGTTTTTGTGTTCTTCAAATAAATAAAGATATTGAATGATAATATTGTACACCTGAAACTTAGATAATGTTATAAACCAATATTACTTAAATTTTTTTAAAGTTCATTTTGAGAAAAAAAATAAAGTGACAACTTGACTATTAAAAAAACGTCTGGCCCTAGCCAATTTAGCTCAGTGGATAGAGCATTGGCCTGCGGACCAAAGGGTCCTGGGTTTGATTTCAGCCAAGGGCTCCTCCCTGGCCTGGGCCCTGGTTGGTGCTCATGCAGGAGGCAACCAATCAATGTGTTTCTTTCACATTGATGTTTCTCTCTGTCTTTCCCTCTCTCTCCCACTCTCCCTAAATATCAATGGAAACATATCCTCAGGTGAGGATTAACAATAACAAAAAAAGTCTGAATAGCACTCTATAGATTCTGTGTTTAAAGTAGAATTCAGAAATGTCTCTGTCAGGCAACAGTTCTGTGGGTGACCTTCAGCATGCCAAAGTGTCTATATGTTGAAAGTTGGCAAAAGAAAAAGCCAGTGGAAATAAAAGTTGGCAAGAAAAAAATCCAGTGGAAATAAACAAAAAACCCTGGAGGTGTACCTCCAGGTTAGCTGGAAACACCTTTCCAGTCATCCAGCCTCAGAGGCTAAGGACGGGATTGTGTGACAAAAACATATTACAAGGAGTTCATGTGTGACAGGTTGTGGAAACCATGCAGCTGAAAATCAGAATCCAGATGCATTTAAATTCCTGTTTATTAAGAAAGAAGCCTACTTCTTTTCCTAGCTGCTTTGTATACATTAAGATCACAAGACCAAGAGGAATTGGGTTTCTAAATCTTTTACATTCTCTTTAACTCTCCTCTGTCTTGGTCCTTTTTTCTTTTTCTTTTTTAATATGTTTTTATTTATTTCAGAGAGGAAAAGAGAGAAAGAGAGAGAGAGAGAGAGAGAGAGAGAGAGAGAGAGAGAGAGAGACATCAATGATGAGAGAGAATCATTGATCAGCTGTCTCCTGCACACCCCCTACTGGGGATCAAGCCCATAACCCGGGTATATGTCCTTGACCAGAATCGAACCTGGAACCTGATCAGTCCAAAGGCCGATGCTCTACCCACTGAGCCAAATCAACTAGGGCTGTCTTGGTCTGTTTTTGACCAATATATGTCATGTTATTAATCTCTCTAGGAATTGATAGCTATGGCTGTCATTGTCCATTTCAGGTCCACTTCTCTGAGAGGTGGTCAGAAGGAGTAGACCATTTATTGACAATAGAAGTCAATGAAAGAAAACACACAACAAAGCAAACAGATTCTTTCTTCTATCTCTCTGGGAGTCTAAAGCAATCTCTTGTTTAATAGTTCCACTCTGTTTATTCTTGAGTTTTACAGTGTAAGAAATTGGCTATAATAGATAGGTTAGAGAAAAATTATTCTATTGCATGAGAAAGCTGGGTCACAATATTTGAGTCCCTTACTGTTAATCTTTCGTTAACCTGTAAACACTCATAATCCACTGTTCAAACTATTTTTAGAGAAAAGGGCAGATTCAAACATTTACATTTGTCCCAGCCTTTACCTCTTCAAAGGAGACCAACAAATATGAAACAATTAAAAAACAATATAGCCCCCCTCTATTGTTTGTGTTGGCTATAAATGCATAGAATGATAGAAAATTAACAAGTATTTATTGAGCACCTACCATTTCTCAGCTGTGCAAGAAAGCGCAGAAGACAGGACCCTCAGTTTGATTATGATCTGCTTGAAGAAGCAAGCCATGATATGAAACAACAGGGCTGGTATAATATGAAATGTAATGACATGCTCATCCATGGAGCACAGACGCTACAGAAGTTTAGGAGCGATAAACTCTGAAGGGTAGAATAGTAGGGGTTTGAGCTGGAAGGAGAAGGAAGCTATGAGTAAGAAGATGAAATGATATGGCAAAAGCACAGAGGTTTCACAGCAACACGCCAGTGAAAACAGTCAAACTAAACCAGGAGGGGTGCAAATCAGAGCTGAGGAAGCTGGCTGGGAGCAGCACCTGGACGCTGTGAAAGCCTGGCAGAGTTTAGATTCAAACTGTAGTCTACACAGAATCAATGATGGTTTTTACAAGGGAAGTGTTGAGAGCAATGTTTTATGAGGACAAGCCAAGCATCCACACTTGGGAGAGACCTGAGAGGGAAGAATGTAGAGGCGGGGAATATAAGCAAGAAAATGGTTGTGGCAAACCAAGGGCAGGTCTTAGGAGCTGAGCTATGGAGGTGTTTGAGGAAATGGAGAAGGGACAGATGTCACAAACATTGCTAAGAGGAACTGGGCACACTTGGTGACTGACTTCATATGGAGGGGGAGGGAAAAGGCCATGTCAAGAAAGACTCCAATATTTTTGGTCTCGTGGTCTTCAAGTAAGTTGATGGTAGAACTGATAATGGAGACAGTGAATCAGCTTTTATTCCTGTCAAGTGTGAGGTGACAGTGGGGCAGCTAATGAAAATGTTCAGCAGGAAGCTAGAAATACAGAAATTTGAACTGTATCTCTGTAGTCTGAGGGTAGGAAAGGTGAATCACTCAGATATGTTAAGGTGGGGATGAGGAAACTCAGAAAAGTAGGAGGAGAGGTCAGTTTCAAGGTGAGAGTGGCAAGGAGAGAGAGAGAGAGAGAGAGAGAGAGAGAGAGAGAGAGAGAGAGAGAGAGAGACTGGCTTTGGAATAGACATTAGGAGGATGAGGATTAGTGAAAGTGAACTGGGCCAGAGATGCATAGTTCCATAACTTCCTCCAGCCACACCTTGCTTTCCCAGGCTTGGACAGAGACACTGGAGGGAGAGTGGCACTGGATGAAGAGGAGGATAAAGGGAATTTGGAGAGGATGAATGGGACCCAGGAGAGCAGAAAGTAGTGTCTAGGCCAGTGATGGCGAACCTATGACACGCGTGTCAGAGGTGACAAGCGAACTCATTTTTTTGGTTGATTTTTCTTTGTTAAGTGGCATTTAAGTATATAAAATAAATATCAAAAATATAAGTCTTTGTTTTACTATGGTTGCAAATATCAAAAAATTTCTATATGTGACATGGCACCAGAGTTAAGTTAGGGTTTTTCAAAATGCTGACACGCCGAGCTCAAAAGGTTCGCCATCACTGGTCTAGGGCATGAAAGTGTGGGAGAAGAAAGAGGGCAATTTTTGTTGTTGTTAATCCTCATCTGAGGATATTTTTTTCCATCGGTTTTTAGAGAGTGGAAGGGTGAGAGACAGAGAGAGAAAAACATCAATGCAAGAGACACACATCGGTTGGTTGCTTCCTACACGCGCCCTGACAGGCGCCAGAGATTGAGCCTGAAACCAAGGTACTTGCCCTTGACCAGAATCAGACCAGTGACCCTTCAGTCGTGGGCTGACACTCTCACCACTGAGCCAAACCGGCCTGAGCATGAGGGCAAATTATTATGATTAGCAATTGGAGCATACTAAAATGCAAAGGGAGAAAAATGCAAAGGGAGGTGGTGACCTCTTCGTGGTGGTAAAGGGGACAGGCAGGGAGGGAGGCCACTCACTCAGGTGCAGCTGTGTTGAAGAGGAGATGTCTGTGGACCATGGGTATTTCCCTAATGTTGACTTGATGTGCCTTCCCATTAAGGAAAGCCCTGCCTCCCACTCTCCAGGCTTTAGCTAATAGAGGACTCTCGGGACAGATGTCATCAGTTGGGGGGGAGGGGATGAAGATTTTGGAACTTGATCTGATCCACTTGCACTGTTGGCTCAAAAGCTTCTGATTCACTTCGGAGATGGTTTTCTGTCATTTAAATGCCATAAACACTAACAACAGAGTGGCTCACTGGCTGGCCCCCTGCTGTCCACACCGGCCAGGCCCAGCACCTGCAGCATCTCTTGGAGAGGAAAAGAGAGACCCATTATCCCATGTGGGTGGTGGGGGGTATCTTCCAAACCTGAAGGAAAGGTAGGGTGTTGGGGAGGAGAGAGATGAGCAAGATCATAGCGGCCCATTTGGTTACTGGAGAGACCACAGCTGAAGACCTGGCTGGGAAGGGAGAGTACAGCCCGGTCATCCTCCCGCCCTTCTCCATCTGGGTTTGGGCTCCAAAGAGACACAAGCAAAGGCAAACACGTACACACACGCACAGAGAAAGAGCTACAGAGTGGAGGTGCCTACACAGCTGATCACAGGACAGACGTTTAGGTCACGAGCTCACGCACTTGTAAAGGCACACCCGGATCTGCTCATCACATGCATCTCTGTCGACACACAGTTCTTTCTTCTCCAAGGGCCCTCTTCCCATGGAGTGCCCTGGTGTGCGTAGAGGCAGGCCCCTCTCTGCCAGGCCTCATGCCTTCCCCTTTGTGTTTTTCCAGGTCGTGACATGGCGAGCACCACTCTGCCTGGTTACCCCCCTCACGTGCCCCCCACTGGCCAGGGAAGCTACCCCACCTCCACCCTGGCAGGAATGGTGCCTGGTAGGTGACAATGCTATAGCTGCCTAATTTATGTGGGGGTAACTAAATTGTGGGTGAGCTGCTGAGTGGTCTTTAGGCTGAGGCTGGGGGTGGGAAGAGATCCAACATCCCCTCCCCCCAAAACACTGCTATTCTACCCCTCACTCTCCCTAGAGCTGCAGTTGGTCCCTCATCCTCTTTCCTAAGCAACCTAGGGAAGGAGCTTGCAGAAGTGCCCCTTGTGTGTATCCCACTGTATGTCATGGCCCCTTCACAGGGCCCACCCACTCAAGCCTGTGCCCAGGGAGCACTCAGCCTCAGCTCCACCCTCAGTGCCCCAGCCCACCCCCCCAGCCAGCTGACACTGCTTGGAAGAGCCTGCCCTGGTTTCCATGGAAACTTGGATCCAAGAACCATTTCCAGAGACATGTCAGTCACTCAGACAAAGCCACCCTGGTCCACACCAACCTACAGGGAAGACCAGAGTTAAGAACCTACCCCACCCTAGAGAGAAGAGGGAACTACCCCACCCCGAAGGAAAGAGGAACAGGGGACAGGCTACGGCAGGAACCAGAGAGGCTAGCTCCAGAGAAATGAGCTAAAGCACCCCCACATGTCCTCAGAGGAACCAGGCTCTTCGCTCCTCAGAGTGCAGACCACCCCCTGGCTGGGCGCAGCTGGGTTAGGCTGTGTGAATCAGAGGCAGAGGTCGCCCGTAGGCTCTGGTATTGTGCTCCCCTCACCTCAGATTGCAGCCAGACTTGGAGCCAAAGAGAGTTGAAGCACCTATTTGCATAAACACCGGAAAACTCTTGGTTAATAAGGGTGGGCCTGCACCCGCTCCCATGGTTGCCTTCTTGTGTGCCCCTTCCCTGAAGCTCAGCTCTCATGGGAGGAGGGTGGGTAGAAAAGGGTGACCGGCCCCCTTCCTGGACTGTCCATCCAGGGACAGCCTGGATAAGCAGAGTTGGGGGAAGGGCATGGCTAAGAGGGCATTGCTGCAGAGTGTGGTAGAAAGGGGCTGAAGAGACTTAGAGGAACTGGGTAGGAGGAGCTGAGGGGTGTGGGTGAGGAGACCCAGATGTGGGGTAGGGGGAGTAGAAGTGTTGAGAGCAAGGAGACTCTTCCAGGAAGGTCCCAGCAGTGAGCTGGTGGAGGCTGGAGAAGGTCTTGGAGCTGTGGGGTGAGGGAGGGGGGAGTCTGTAAGGAGGTGGGGATGAGGGGAGCGCAGAGAGCTCGTGGTGGCAAGGGGGGAGTCGTTAAACAGAATCTAGTGCTGATGAGGAAATTACACTTGTTTCATTAGCGATGGGGAAGGAGATAGCTCAGTTCCTCTTGGTCACAGTTGAGCTCAGAAGCTCATTATCCTGCTGCACGCATGCTTTCCCTCCTCGTCAATAAACAGGCTTTCCAGTGGCTGCATCCCCCACCCCCACCCCAGCTCCCTCTCCGAGAGGGGCCCCTTCTCCTCTACTTAACCCACGGTTAGGGATCACTGTAAACAGTCTGGGGTCATCACACAGGAGAAAGGGCGAGGGGGAAACCCGGAGATGTGGCCTTTCTCCCGTGGAGGGAGTGAAGCAGCTTCCGACGGGCTGGGAGCCCACGGGGCCCTCCGCTCACCGCTCACCGCTCACGGCTGGGCAGGCAGTCCACCTGCTGCCCGCCACCTCCTTCCCCTGCTGCGTGCCCCACAAGTCCGGTCTCTCGGAGGGAAAGGTGGGAGGGGGGTTCCCAGCAGAACCCAAGCCCTTGCTTTGGCACAGTGCTAAGATGCCATTTTTAGGACTTTCTGGGACAAAGTGTCCCCAGGGCCTTTCTTCGCCACCCTCCCCCGCTTCCACCCCGGGGGGCTATGGCTCCCAGAACCAGAGTCTGTGCTAAAAAGACCCTGTCCTCCCACGCAGCGGGGTAGGCGTGCCTGCACCCAGAATCAACCCTTCTCGGGTGCCAGAGACGCCCCCGCGAGGTGTCCTAGGGGAACACCGCCCCACAGGTCTCTCCACTCCCGTGTGCGAGGGTCGTGGGTGCTGCTGCATTCCCCCCCGCCCTGTACACACGCACCCAGGGCTCTCCCCACGCGGTCTCAGTGGATTGCTCCGCCTTCGCCTGGCCCACAGCCTACAACATCGGGTCCGCCTCGGTGTTGCGCGTGTCTGATCCCACTCCCCCACCCTCCCGCAGGGAGCGAGTTCTCCGGCAACCCGTACAGCCACCCCCAGTACACGGCCTACAACGAGGCTTGGAGATTCAGCAACCCCGCCTTACTAAGTGAGTACGCCACCCGGCAGCCGGCGGCTCAGCGCGCCCGCCGCCGCCCGCCGCTGCCCCACGCGCCCCACTCCAGCCACCGGACCTCCGGTGCCGCCGGGCAGGCCCGCAGTGCAGCACCGAGGCCCGGCGTCCCTGCGGACCCCGCGCCTCCCGCCCCCTTCCCCTCCTCGCCCTCCTAGTCGCTGAAAGGGCCTGGCCGCCCCAGCGTCAGCCTCCCGGCAAGGTCCGCAGTCGCGCGGCGTGGTCGCCCACGGGGTCCCCCCTCCCCCCACCCCCCAGGGCATGCAGCTCTCCCAGCCCCTCAGCCCAGCCCAGGTCTTCCAGCCCCGAGCCCCGGGCGGTCTTTGCTTTGCTTTCCTCTTTTTGTTCTCCTGTTTGTCCTCTCACCCAGCCCATTCTTCTCCTGTGTTAACTTCCAGGTTCCCCTTATTATTATAGTGCCGCCCCCCGGGGTTCCGCCCCTGCCGCTGCTGCCGCTGCCTATGACCGCCACTAGTTACCGCGGGGACCACATCAAGCTCCAGGCCGACAGCTTCGGCCTCCACATCGTCCCTGTCTGACCGCCCGCCCCGAGGGAGGGAGGACCTCCTCGACTCGCAGCCTCCTGGCCGCCGCCCCAGCCCCCCACCCCACCCCCCGCACCCAGGACGCCTGCAGCCCTTCGCGTCACCCGGCCCCGGGCCGGACGGGACTAGTGGAGCCTCCGGCGGGACCCTCGGGCCGGCTGGGCCCACCGACCCCGCCCCTCTCCGCCTGCCTGGACTTCGGAGGGCACCGAGGAGGGCGCGCCCAGCTCCCCCCGGCCTCGCCCGAGCTGCACCCGAGCCGACCAGCGGGCGGGACGCGGGACTCGGGCCGGGCCGCCGCTGGGCGCGGGGACACGTTCTGTGACACACAATCAGCGCGGACTGCAGCGCGGCCAGCCCCGGAGCAGCCCGCTTCGCCAGGAGGCCTCGCCGCAGGGCCTGGGCAAAGGAAATGAAGGACAAACTGGTTTTCTGCGGGAGGAAGAGCCTCCTGCCTAACCCTGGGGAAAAGCCCTCGCACCCGCGCCAGCCGGACTGCCCCCGCCTTCCGAGTGCGCCCCGCCCCGAAAGGTGGACTGGAGTGGGGGCTGGGCTCTAGCGGGGAAGGTGGGGGTCGTCTGGTCCTTCCGAGGTTGGGACCCCAGGCACGCAGGCCCCAGCAGCCCGCACCCACCGAGCCGACTCCACCAGAGCCCCAGCCCCCCAGGGCCCAGGCACCCCCTACTAGTGAGGAGACTCAGCCCCACCTTGCCCCTACCTCAGCGTCTCTGCCTCTGTGACACCCCCCGCCCCGTCTTCCCTCCTGCCCGTCCTTTTCCCGACCCACGGTGCTCTGCATCGCTGCTCCCTGTCTCACCACCCATCGGAGGCTCTCCAGTGCGGCCCTCCCCCGACACAGACTCTGGATCTGCCGTCGGCAGGAGCAGGGTCTGAGCTGCGACGAGGTGGAAGCGGGGGCTGCCCACCCACCCCCAGCTCCTCCTCCGGCAGGAACTGAACAGAACCGCAAAAAGTCTACATTTATTTAATATGATGATCTTTGCAAAAAGGAAGAAACAAAAGCCCAACAGGCTGCTGCTCTGTAGAAAGGCGATGTGTGTCGTGCGAAGGCGAACCCCAGTGTATATAACCCCGCCCCGCTCCCCCCGCCCCGCCCGGTAGAGTCCCCGCCGCCCGCCCGCCCGCCCGCCCGCCTGCCCGCCCTGCCTGTAGATACGCCCCGCGCTCTGTGCTGTGAGAGTCGCCGCTCGCTGGGGGGTGGGGGGAGGGGGACACAGCTACACGCCCACTGAAGCACAGCACGTCCTGGGGGAGGGGGGCATTTTTTATGTTACAAAAAAAAAAAATTACGAAAGAAAAGAAATCTCTATGCAAAACGACGAACATGGTCCTGTGGACTCCTCTCGCCTCTGTTTTGTTGGCTGTTTCTCTGTAACTCCATGTCCTCATTCGCTCATCTTTCTCCTGCGCATCGCTCCCCTCTCTCCATCTCTTTCTCCGCAGTCCGTTTCTCTCCGTCTTTGTCTGTCTCTGCCCCCCTCGGCCTCTCCTCCGCCCAGCCCCGGCCGCCAGGCCCGTGCAGCCAACTCGGCGGTGGCGGCTCCACTCCCGGGCTCGCCCCCTCGAGGCTGCCGTGCCCCGCGCGCCCTGCGCCGCCGGCGGCCGGGCCGGGCCGCCCCGCCCCGTAGTTGCTCTCTCGGTAGCGGCGATGCGCCCTGCATGTCTCCTCACCCGTGGATCGTGACGACTCGAAATAACAGAAACAAAGTCAATAAAAGTGAAAATAAATAAATAAAAATTCTTAAACAAATACGAAAGGCTTGGCGTCCTCGCCCAGATCTCTCTCCCCTTCGAGCCTTTTTTTATTTAAAAAGGAAAACGAGTAAAGAGAATAGTTTAAGGGAACAACCGGCGCCTAGCCAGGCTCCAGGGGCCTGAGCGGGGCGGCAAGGGAACCGAGGTTCGAACTCCGAGGCTCAACCCATTCCAGTCCTGGGGGGGGGCACCAGCGCCACGACCCAGCCCAACCCTCGAGAGACAGCCCCCCCATAGCTCTGGTCTCCTTGGCCACTTGAAGCGCGTCGGTTCGTTTTGATTCTTTTCTTTTTCTTTCTTTTTTTATTGTGCACATGAGAAATAAATAATAAATAATAATAATAAATAAATAAATAATAATAAAATTTTGTATGTCACTCCCCATGGCTCCAGGTTTGTCTCTCCCTGTCTCTGGGACAGGCCTCCCCTCCCGCTGGTGGATCCCAGATAACCCCCTCAGTGACCCTCCCAGCCACGCTCCCACTGCCACCCCTTTCCCAGGACCCTCGTGGCGGCAGCTGAAAGCAGGCGAAGGCCCAGACCAGCTGGTCCTTCCGTAGTCACCCGCCCTTGGGACAAGGAGCTTTCCAAACGTAAGAATCACTCCAGGGTACACATCTATAGCAGGCCGATGGTCGCCCTGCCTCTCCACCCGCTCCCAGATTTAGGGGTCAGAGGCCCTTTCCCGGTGTGAGGAGAGTGGGGATGGCTGCTGTCCTGCCTCCTTTCTCCAATCCTCCGCGCAGCCGCAATTTGATCCCGCAAGTCTGCACTGAGGCCGCGGAGGCCGCAGACGCTGGTCACAAGTTTCCGTGCCGACACTTAGCTCCGCGGAGGCTCGGGTAGAACCCGCCAGCTCGCGGGACCTCGCGCGCCCCCTGTGTCTTGCGGCGCCCGGGCCCTCGCCAGCAGCAGTTAGGATTGGTGTGGTCTGGTTGTGTCCCGAGAGGAGTCTGTGGGTCCGTAGGTGCTTCCATTCTGTTGGACTGGGTGGGTCTATGTTCCTAGGTGGGCCGGGTTGGGGGAGGCGGGAGAACTGTTTGCTTTTTCAGGCATTCTCACTGCTCTTGTGCGGAGGGGCGGGGCTCTGTGTCCATCCTGTGTCTGTTCCCATTTGGGGGAAGGATGGGTGATTGCCCAGGCAGCATCTGAAGTACTTGGAAGGGTCTTCTCTCGATCCTTTCAACAACCCCTCAACTCCAGCCCCCCTAAAGGCTGCAGCCTTCACCTGATCTCACCCGTGGAGACTTTTCCTTCTCTGCCCCTGGGATACCTTCCCAGCTCAGCTCTTCGCTGGGCCTCCTCCCTCCTGGAAGGCTCTTGATGCTCTGAGCTGCCAGGGCATCCTCTTGGCTGGGAGCAGTGTGTCCCAGACACCTCCTTCCCTCCAGGATCCCAGAGGCCTTTCCTTCCCCAAGCCTATTTGCCTAGCTTCACCCCCTCTGACACTTCAGGAGGATGCGCAGGATCCCCAACAAATCAGCAAGCCCCTAAATTAATCTCCTTCTTCCTCCCTCTCCCCTGTGGCCCCTCCCAATTCCCCACCTCAGCAAATGACAATCCCACCTTCTGACCTTGCTTGGTACTGCACCTCTTGACTGTCATTTTCCTGGGTGATCTTCAAAGTTATTTTAAATCATACATCCTATCAGTAAAAAGAATTCTTAATGTGTACCTCCAATCCTATATAATAAAAAGCTAATATGCACATCGACCGAAGGGCGGAACAACCGGTCACTATGACGTGCACTGACCACCAGGGGGCAGACGCTCAATGCAGAAGCTGCCCCCTGGTGGTCAGTGCACCCCCACCCAGGGGGAGCACTGCTCAGCCAGAAGCCAGGCTCACAGCTGGGGAGCAGTGGTGGGAACCTCTCCCATCTCTGAGGCAGTCAGACATCCCCTGAGGGGGTCCCAGGCTGCGAGAGGGCACAGGCCAGGCTGAGGGACCCCCCAGTTTCCCAATGTCATGCACCAGGCCTCTAGTATAATATATTTATTTAAATATTTACTTATTTATAAATTCCACAAATGTACAACTGGACTAACAAATTATGAATTTCATAAGACATAAAATAGTAAAAAGATGAGGTTGGAATACATAGACATAGAAGCTCTAATGCAGTGGTCGCCAACCTTTCAGACCTCACGGACCACCAGCGGTCTGCAGACCACCAGTTGGTGACTGCTGCTCTAATGTTCTCTATGATAAATGGCTTCTCTTGTACCCCCTGGGAGATGTTCACCCTACTTTTGAGATGCTGCTCAGAACCCATCAAAACCCAGCATGGCAGAACTCCTGACCACTGCCTGATGTCAACAGGTAAGTTCCTGGAAGTTGTCAAGGCTCTGGTTTGGCCCAGTCAATGCTGCCCTCATCATATATAGCAGGCTACCTGACCCCCAGTCCCTGGCTTTGCTTCCAGGTGCTCCCAGACTGGGAACACTGCTTTGCCTAACACATCAAATTGGGAGTCAGGGCCTCTTACCTGGTTCCCACCAGAACTCCTTACCTTCTGTTCTGTCTGGCCTCCCCATACCAAATTGGACAGTGAGAGTGCCACTGTTGAGAGTGACCACCTCTGTACAGACACTTTCATGCTGTTTCTCCTGGGGTGTTGGTTTCTGCTTGGAATCAGACTGAGGATCCCTGAAACATGTTCTATTTTGAGCAGTTGCCTGTTCTAACTTCAGCCCCATATACATGTGCCAAACACAAATAGGGCCTGTTCTCCATAACTGACCCAGTTCTGACTCTGCTAGGCCTATCCCCAGCCCACTCCCAGAGTTGAGCTACACCAAGTATGGCAGTTATAAACAGATTAAGAAAGGTGTCCTGGGTTGAGGGAACAGCAGGAACAAACACATGGAAGCATGGAAATATACCAGATAGAATGTGGCTAGAGCATCAGGTGGCAGGAGATGAAGCTTTAAAATAGTTGAGTGCCAGGACACCATGCTAGAAATGTCAAAATGGTATTCATCACTGAATACCATGGCTTCCTTAAGGAGGCTGTCCCACTCAACCTCCTCCTACCATATCTGTGCCAATGACTGACTCCAAGCTGATTCAATGATTCCCCCTCTCTCAGGACACAGCATTAGGAAGTATAGAGAGAATAAGGCCATTAACCATTAGCAGCAAAGCCCAATGGAAACTCTAAGGCAATGGTTCTCAACCTTCTGGCCCTTTAAATACAGTTCCTCATGTCGTGACCCAACCATAAAATTATTTTCGTTGCTACTTCATAACTATAATGTTGCTGTTGTTATGAATCGTAATGTAAATATTTGATATGCAGGATGGTCTTAGGTGACCCCCGTGAAAGGGTCGTTCAACTGCCAAGGGGGTCGCGACCCACAGGTTGAGAACCGCTGCTCTAAGGGGATTCCCCAAGTCTTCCTCATCTCAGTCAAGCACCGCTTCATTGACTGCTTCTGTCTTTCCCATCCCACATCTGATCCACCAGCAAAACTAGACAGCTCTGCCTTTAAAATAGGTTCAGAATTTGACCACTTCTAACAATCTGCACTATACCATGCCAGTCCAAGCCTGGATCCTTCACCTGGATTTGCAAAAGAAGTCCTAATTGGTCTTCCTATTTCCATCTTTACCCCCTCCCTCCCCATTCCAGTCTATTCTCCCCCAGCAGCAGAGTGATGCTCCCAACATGTAAAGCAGATCATAGCCCTCCTCTGCTCAGAGGCCTCCAGTGGCTCCTCTTCTCCCTCAAAGTCAGAATCCTAAACCTGATCTACAAGGCCCTACATGTTTTAGCTGTCTGCCCTCTCACTCCCACCCTCCCTGCTTCCCACTGCCACTCCTAATTCACCTCCCATTGCCTCCTCAACTCACTGTGCTCTGAGCCTACTGGCCTCTGTGCTTTAATTACACCAAGCACAAGCCTTCCCAAGGTGTTTGCACTTCATGTGATCCAGATAGATTGGCTACCCACTTCCTTAAGGTCTCTGCTCCAGTGTTACCTTCCAACAAGGCCTTCCCTCATTAACTTACGTAAAATAGTGCACACCCACCATCACTCTCTGTTCCCTTCCCTTGCTTCTCCACATTCTTTACTACCTCCTGACAGGTTATGCTTTATTGGTTTAGGTCCTGTCCTCTCCCATTAGAATGTTAACTCCATGATGACAGATTTTTGTTCTGTTTGCTGAAGAACAGTGGGCACATTGTGCAAGAAAGAAGGAAAATAAGAATGTTATTACATTTGTTTATATATATATATATATACATTGAAAACATAAACAACAATCTAATGAAAATGGCTATCTCTGAGGAGGGAGGAATGTCGATTGGGACCGGGTAA